TTCAAGTCGGGGGTCAATCTTCCCGACATATCCCCATGAACCATGTCTCTTACTTTGCAACCCGCCTCATCGAGTGGCTCTTGGGTCTTGCAAAGGGTGAAGATCATTGTAAAAAAAAAACAAAAAAAAAACAAATCAAAATTGAAATTCTGTATAGATTTAGATCTCTAAATTTGGACTTGTTCGATCGAACTAATTAAATTATGCAAAACAAGTCGTGGCTTCAGACCAGCGATGTACCAAATGTTTGCGCCGCTCGGGGTGATCGTAAAAAAACTGCGTTCCAACTTAACTGACTCTCTGCGCATACCTGTGGCTGGAGGATACCGCAAGTGCGTCCTGCTTGATCAAAGGTGACGACAGATGTCTAGAGGCAGATAAATTCCTTTGTCTGTCCCTAAAATTACGTATGGATATGAGCAGATTGGAAAAAAGTATAATTTAGTTTAGTAAAAAGAAGTTAAAATTACTCCGTCAGAATTTCAGTCTATTCCAGGTTCAATGCAAGTCTCAGGGAATTACAAACGTTATGGAAGACCTGTATGCCAAAGTAAAGCAAGAAGGGGAAATATTTGGAAAGTTCGGATTAGAAACATGTAATGAATATGGAAGAAATAGGACCAATGGTGCATGGCAAACAACCAGGCAATATCCAACTCCTGGTTTCAAGACCACGTAAGACGCTTAGTTTGGGACTTGAGAGATAACAAAACTACAGACATAATAAATGATATATACGGCAGTAGTGATATGCTGTAAGACCATTTTTAAAGGACTGCCTAAGAAACCCGTTAAAAATGAAAGCGAGCTCCATCGGGCAATTAGCCTGATGAGCCAAATAACTTAACATCCGAATTATCATGAATAGAGCACGTAGAAGAATTAAACTAAAAAAGAGATAAGAATAACAAGGTTTCATTAAAGACACGGAATGCAATAATTATGTTCAGAATTATATCAGCAAGAGCAATACAAACGTAGATGGATGTATATCTATGTTTTATAGATTATCCTCAAAAAAATATTCCAAAACAGGGCAACGTCTACTAAAGGGGGTGTCCCAGAATTAACTATTTTAATGAAATCGGGCTAATTAAAAAAAAAAAAGAAAAAAATAAACTGACACAATGTTTATTACTTAATTATGACACAAGAAAAAGATATTTATAAATTTATTTATTTTTTTATATTAAAAATATTCAACAACTGGTCCGACTGTATCCCTGCAAATTTCAAATTTATCCTTAGGATTGCGAAACACATTTTGAAACATTTTGGGGGTTATCTCCTGCACTGCTAAGGGCGTCCTTTAAGCTACAGCTAAACTACTGATCTTTTGGCGATAAACCTTTGTTTTTATGAAACCCCATGCAAAGAAATCCGGTGGTCAGGGTCAATAAAAATGCAATGTTGTGCATTCATTATTAATAGGATTCTGAAAGGGAGTGAAAATCAAATTAGAAAAAAAATAAAGACAAAATACAAATCAAAGACGCTACTTGGTTTCAAGGAGAAAATGAAAGAAAGAAGGGAAAATATGTTCAACGTCGGTGAAATGTAAACAATCTGTAGCTTCTTACTTCTTATAATAACAACCAGCATTCACAGTTATTAATGTTACTGGAATATTTTGTTAAAGTTGGTAAGCTCAAATACTTAACGATGTGATGAGGGAATTTCTACGGATATTTTCTTGTCGGAGAACTTGCTAGGGGCTCGCTCAATCATTAACCGAATAATTAAGATTCACCAGTAATTTGAAATAGGAAAATTGTAAAATTTTCACGGGTTAAAACTATTCATACTAATTCTGCCACCCCAAATTTACCGCGCGGGTAGGACCGTCTGTCACAACTCTACGAGATCCGTCAGCGTTCCTGACTAAGGCACTAAATCAGTATAGTTCAGCACAAGGTTTTCAGAATAGTGTACCCAGAGAGGATAGACGTCATTTTAGTAATAACTGACACATAGTATAACTTTCAAAGTAAATACCCAATGTATCTCTATCTATAAATGGCAGGATGTGTGTGTGTGTGTGTGTGTGTGTGTGTGTGTGTGTGTATGTGTGTGTGTATGTGTGTGTGTGTGTGTAACGAATGCACGGCCGCAATTTTTGACGGATTTGCACCAAAATTTACATGCACATGCTCCAAGTTAGCGGGAAGGCCAAGACTGACTTTGCATTTCCCAACCACCACCGATAGTGGAAATAATGGATTTTTTCATGCTTCTACGGCAGTTTTCATGTAGTTTGCGGCCATTTTCTACTAGCCAGAGTGAGAGCCTATAGCTGGCTGCCACGAATAGGCAGGAAGATTCTATTGGCTAGCGTGAGAGCCAACAGCTGAGTGACATGAATGTTAACTAGCATGCAAAAAATATCGATAGCTGCATTCGTCACAAGTGGAAAAAATTTAAATCTGCATGGCACTTTATTCCAATTGGCTCATTCGCTTGCTTGAACTCAACGTTGATTCTGATTCCGCAGAATTGGGTT